CACCACTAATCTCAAAATATAGTGCCCGGAATGTCGAGTCACTTGGACGGGTGGCCACATTGCGACATGGTCGATAGCATTCGATCTGCACCAAATAAGGACTTGACACACATGACATTGATCACCATCAATTGATCAATCAATTGTAGGTCCAACACTTTATTTGGTAGCAAGGTTTTAATTTGCACTTGGTGGAATTATCCACTGGATAAAATAAATATAATTCAGATCTTTTTCTCAGTAATGTACTGGGACTACTGTTTAAAAAACATTGAACTATGAAAAATGAGTTTTGAAGTTACTCGAAATATGGCCGAATTAGATAGTTTTAATCCACAAAAATTTTGTCTTGAAGATAAATCAAAGGACGATAATTCGGAATAATTTCACACCTGATTTTGAGCAGAGCTGGAGGAACGTGAGACTTATAGACTGGCTACAAAGAGCATCATCTTGAACCATGCCCTCATCCGACAGTGGCGCTTAAGTAATCGCATTCAGCTAGTAATGGCCATTAAAACTGACGAAATCGTTAGCTCTATGGAATGTTTGCCTCATCATTTAAAACAGCCACTTGTAAATAAAACTTAATTAATTCACTATAATGTTTCGAATTATTTGAATTATAGTACGAACTAAGAGTCCCAGAAATAACGCAATCGAATCAAGAATTACTAGATAAGCAAAAACAATGTACTGTATTTAGAATTCGAATCAAGCATTCAACAAGTACAAAGAAATCATCAGTTCATTCAAACACCACATTCACGCAGTTTGAAATATCTTCACCTTTGGAAGTTTCTACCTATACTTAGAGTAATCCACATCATACGAAGCAAATAAAATTGTAATTATTCCTATTCATGGTTCTGACTGATTCGTTGCGAATTACCTGGCCCCTAAACAATTCCGTAATTGGTGTCACTGTTCTCCCAGTAAATTTTTATTTTGCTAGATAATTCACAATTTGGTGAGGCGTCGAGTCGTGGTTGACTATGATCACCACTATAGGAAGACTACGTGTCAGTTAACCGATAAGATCTACCGTAAGCCAAATACCAGAAGGCAGTTGATGGCTGTAGTCGAGATGTCTTTGTTGGCGATCTCGTGGTATCGAAAGAATACCGAGATCGTGCCAGGTTACAAGTGTCGTTACTGAGCGTAACCGAACTCGTGCAAGGTCACAATCAACGGAAGAATGTATGTGTTTTGGTACAGTTAAACAACAAGTACAGTAAAACAATCCGTGGTACAATTAGTTATAATAATAATTGCTTCCATTACACCAATCGCGTTCTCTTGATAAAAGTAGGTCACTACAAGAGCCCACCGCTAGAAAGGGTTCATACTTTTGATACGTAACGGTTTCGTTCGTGGACTGATCAGCAAACGTGCGATTGTAGGACGATATTGTTGGCATAACAAGAAGTGATCAATAGTCCTCGAGTTGTTAACGAAGGTCTTTTACGTAGAACGGTACCAGACGAAACGTGCTGTATCTGTTGCTCGAGCTGGCGTACTACTACAGATTGGTTTGTATCCAGGATCTGAAGACTGCGTTCGTAGGGGGCCGGGCCAGAAAACGGTGCAGACGTAGGACGAGACCACGTTGAGCGAAGAAACCAGAAGCAACCATAACAACCAAATGCGAGACCAAATGTATGCCAGACATATTCGGGACCAGAACATCGGCTGAGTTCGTTGGCAAGAGCGTAGGTGATCAGGCCGGCATTCGCCGAAATTGGCTGAAGTCGACATTACCAAACGGACGATGGTCGGACGCGTTGGCTCAGGATACAAAAACATCAAAGAAAAAGAGAAAAAGTGTAGCATGCATGTGGAATTGGGGTAGAGTCTCATGTCGTATTCGTTTTTGATCGGGCGGTTAGTCGCGAAGGAGTATGAGTAGGCGTACTCAGCGACCGGAACGTGAGACTCTAGTCTCGTTCGTACTTCGTGAACCTCCAATCTCATCCGAAGTCAAGGGCAGCGTGGTTTGCTGATCTGTATGTGAGAGTGAAGTCTCGTCCGTAGATGGTGCAGATGACACGTGCTGTCGACTGAGACGTGAGAATGAGGTCTCTGATGTATCCGATGTACATGTAGGGATCCCGCTAGTAGGTTTGATGGGTCTAGCATTGAGTCTCAACTTATCAGGTAGGCACTGTCATCGACGCGTGCTGGTTCGAGACGATCAATGCTGACGATTTCGACGCAGCCATGTAGATCAACTTTGAAGGTCAATTCGTGACGAGAAATCACATGGAAGGTCTTTCGTAAGGCTGTCGTAAAGGCTTGCGTACCGAATCTACTCGTATGAAAACATGTAAACAAGTAGATAACTCTCGAGGGAGAGCGATCTGTCGATGTTGTATTCGAGTTGACAACAGGGTCAGTGTTCTCACAGATTCGGACAGTCGTTGGACGTAGTCTGATTTACTAAATCGTTGCCGCTCCGTGGTGTGAAAAATTCTCCAGGAAGACGCAATGTCGAGCCGTATACAAGTTCAGCGGTGGAACATTGAATATCTGCCCCTAAGCTTGTTCTGATACCTAAGAGGACGAGCAGTAAGGTTTCGTACCAACTGTTGTTTTCGTGTGCTCGAAGAGCACTTTTAGGTTCAACTTAATCATTTGATGCTGGGTGGTAGGCGGTAGTCACAATTGATTTATCACTGGGTGGTGATCAATGTCATGCTTGTCTAGTCCTTATTAGTGCAGATCGAATGCTATCGATCATGTTGCAATGTGGCCACCAGTCTAGGTGACTCGACATTCCGGGCACTATATTTTGAGATTAGTTGGTGGTTGGAGGTAGTCGACAGGAAACCCTGGACTCGGGTTTCGTGCTACTTGGCACTCGTCAGCAAGGTGTACTTGTAATCTTGAAGGAACTGGTGCTCCCTGGCGGATTCGATCTCGTGTCACCCAGCTTCACAGTCAGAGACGTTACCACTGAGCTATCCGAGCCGTGACTAACCTCCTGTAGGACTGAGATGTAATCACAATTGATTGATCACTGGGCGGTGATCAATGTCATGCTTGTCTAGTCCTTATTAGTGCAGATCGAATGCTATCGATCATGTTGAAATGTAGGCGGTAGTGCGTATGCGTTCCGTACTAAGCAGTCGGGTCAGTGAGGTGAGTAGTTAATTGTGGAACTTTCTCGAATAAAGCGTGGAATATATCGTCGCGCGAATGAAAGACACCTAAGATTCGATACACGTACATCGGAGTCCATTATATTATTACCATTCTTATCGTTATCCGTCATCTCAAGTCGTTGCCAGAATATTATATATTGAAAAATACCAATATGAAAATGTGCAACAGACGTGAATAGATTTACCGTAGTAGTCTTCCGTGGGAGATTTTCCAGAGTTTGAGACGTTTTCCCAGATTTGGCTCACCGGTTGTAGCGTGGCGTCGAGTCGCAGTTGACTATGATCACCACTACGGGAAGACTATGTGCCAGTTAACCGATAAGATCCCCCGTAGGCAAAATATCAGAAGCGACCATGACAAACAATTGAGTTTTCCGTGCCTCTAGGTAGCCCTCGTGTTGTCGATAGAAGAAACCAGACAAGTAGTGAATAGGTATTTATTTAGATCTTCGTGCTGTCACAGTGGAGCGTGGGATTATTTGTTCAGATAAACAAAGCCTCTCAACATTCAATATAAGGTAATAGAAAATATAACGCCTATACAATATAAGGAAGTGAATGAATACTTGAACTACACTGTTTTGACATATGCTTAGTTGTGTTGAGGTGAACTCTTAACCAACCAACCTAAGCTGTTACACGTTCTCTGAATAAAAGTAGGTCACCACACTATCATCATCGGTTTCGTTATAGGCCGACGATGCAATGATATAGAGAGTGATAAAAAGCAAATGTGATAGTTTAGAGCTTGAAAATGACATGTTTACAGTATTCGTTCATCGTAAACTTGAATTCCGCATATAAGCAGCTAGCCCCCACTTAATAAGATACGGTGAGCTGTTGGGAAGGGTTTGTAGCGTGGTTTCGAGTCGAGATTGACCATGAGCGCCATTACAAGGAAACGCGTACCAAACAAATCAGAAGGCGTGGGTTGAACGTAACCAGATTTATTTCGTTGGCGATCTCGTGGTATCGAACGAATACCAAGATCGTGCCAAGAAATGGTACAAGCGAAAGCAGGAGAATAAAGTACGTGCGAACAAAGCCAAAAACCGCGGAACAATGATGGAAGGTAATGGAAGCACAAAATGGCTGTAATTAGCACAGTTAAACAAAAGCACATTAAAACAAGCACTTGATGATGTCACAGGTATTCAGTGTTTGACAACGCTTCTACCAGTAACACCTTCTAAGATATTTCGTTCCCACCAAGAGAAATCAAAAGACAGAGTCGAGGAGATCGGAAGAGTATATTTGGCGATGACCAATATACCGGGATTCTCTGATCTAATCTGGCTAGCGATTGTGGTTGATGTTGAGCACGGCGTTACTACACGTGATCTGGTGCGGATGCCTGACCGAGCGCCTTCAGCTAGATGAGTCCACTAAAACATATGGTCAGCATCCAATGTCGAAAACTTACAGAGCTATTTATTTTAGGGATTTATTTACCGCTACAGATCACTCCCCCCCTAGTGGGGCAGTGACGACCCTAAGACGTGGCCAGCCAGAAGTTTAAACCCAACGAGTTTGTCGTTGGTAAACACTCTTCTGATAGCTTACTAAATTTAGCAGCGTCTGGTCGTCTTTCCTTACTATATGGGACGGAGGTACAACATAGTAAAAAAAAGAAAATGTACAATGAAAATTTCGGATCCTCATAAACGTCATCGTTCTTTTCCAGCCGTCCTGGAAAAGAAAAAAGAAAATGTAAGTGCATGTCGAAAATACACTCGTATATGCGTAAAAACACAAGGTCGGCGGAAAAAAAATGGAAAATAAACTCATGAGCACGTAATAGCGTTAAAAAATTGTTTTTTTTGTTGTTTTTTTTTTAATAGAAATAAAAATATATAAGCATATTAAAATTGTTTTTTTTTCAAAAAAAAAAAAATAATATAAAATGTCGAGAAGTGCCTTACGTGCAATAGTCGTTTAAATGTTCTGGAAATCTCACCCTTCTTCCAGAACGCGTCGTTTTAAGTTTATTTTCGGATACTGTCGAAGTATCTTCGCGTGTGTTGGTTGTCGGATGAGGTATTATTAGTGTCTGAGTCGTGTCGTTCGATTGTACCGAAGGAAAATCGACGTGGATAGGATTTCCTTCTAAATACGCTGCTTTTAAGCGATCGATGCTGATGCTATCGTTGGTTCCGTTCTTATCGACTATATAGTACTTAGATTCACGTTGAAGAACTTTGAAGGGTCCTTCGTATGCTGATTCGAATGGTCGTCGATGCGAGTCTCGACGAATGAAAACGTGTGTACTATATGGTAAGTCAGGTTGAACGAAAACATCAGTTGATTGAGGTCGAGTGGAAGCAGGTTTAACTGAACGCATTGCGTTTGTAAGCCTGTTCGTGTAGGAGGTTAGATCCATGTTCATCGAAGAGCACGAAGGATCCACGAATTCTCCTGGAAGTCGAAGTGTCGTTCCATAAACGAGTTGAGCCGCAGTGTATCCAATGTCAGCTTTCACTGCATTGCGGATACCTAGTAAGACGAGTGGAAGAGCGTCGGTCCATTGTGAAACGTTTGCAGCTGATAGCGAAGCTTTCAGTTGTCGGTGAAAACGTTCTACCAACCCGTTTGCTTGGGGATGGTAGGCGGTCGTTCGGAAGCGAGTGATTCCTAAAAGTGTGGTCAGACGACGGAAAAGATCAGATTCAAACTGACGTCCGCGGTCTGTAGTGATGGTTGAAGGGCAACCGAAGTTTGCTACCCATCGTTCGACGAATGTGCGGGCCACTGTTTCAGCAGTGCTGTCCTTGATAGGTACTGCTTCTGGCCATCGAGTGAAACGGTCTACGCAGGTTAAGAGATAAGAGTATCCATTTGAATCTGGTAAAGGTCCTACCAAATCCAGATGAACATGGTCGAAACGAGCATCGGGAGTTTTAAACGAGCCTAAGGGACATTTATTGTGTCTGATAACCTTAGATTTTTGGCAGCTTACACAGGAGCGTGCCCACTCCCTCACGTCTTTATTCATGCCAGGCCAGCAAAATCGTTCTGCTATAAGCTTGATGGTTGCACGAACACCTGGATGAGAAAGTTTGTGCAATGTGTTGAAGACATTGCGTCGATAATGTTTCGGCACGATTGGGCGATCCCTACCTGTAGATGTGTCACAAAGTAAGGTTTCCTTACCTGTTCCCATCTGTTTGATGCGTAGTTTAAGTGTTGTGGACGATAACTCGTGCTGAAGATCACTGTCTTCTTTTTGAAGCTCGGCGAGTTTAAGAAGGTCGATTCCTTGGAAACTGTTCAAGGAAGTTATACGAGATAAAGCGTCTGCAACTACATTGTTTGCTCCAGAGATGTGTTGAATATCTGAAGTAAACTGCGAAATGTAGTCCAGTTGTCGAGACTCACGGGGAGAGTACTTGTCAGAAGGAGAGCTTAACGAGAAAGTGAGCGGTTTATGGTCCGTGAAAAGAGTGAATTCACGGCCTTCGATATAGTGTTGGAAATGCCGTACAGCACAATACATAGCTAGGAGTTCCCTACCGAATGTGCTGTACCTCGATTCGGTGTCTAGCAACCTTCTAGAGAAAAATGCCAAGGGTTGCCAGGAGTTGTTAACCCATTGTTGTAAGACTCCTCCGATTGCTGAGTCGGATGCGTCTACTGCGATGCTAATGGGTGCTCGGGTGTCCTGATGTGCGAGCATTGTTGCTTTAGCAATCAGTTCCTTGACTGTGGAGAATGCTTTTCGTGCGGTGTCGTCCAAATTAATGGATTTCGCATTTCCACGAAGTTGGTCGGTCAGAGGTTTCATAAGTGATGCGCATTTGGGTATGAAACGTCTATAGAAACTTACCAGGCCGTTGAACGTGCGTAATTGCTTGACGGTGGTCGGTTCTGGGTAATCCAGAATGGCCGCCACTTTGGTTCTAAGGGGTCGGATACCTTGAGCATCGATAGTGTGTCCCAGAAAGTCTAACGAGTCGGTTCCAAATTGGCATTTCTGAACGTTTACAGTTATGCCATGTTTTTGTAATCGTTCGAAAACAAGGTCCAGATGCTTGAGATGTGTTTCTCTGTCCGGACTTGCGATTAGACAGTCGTCAACATACGCGTGTACGAAGTTGAGACCTCGAAAAACGTCGTCTATGAATCTTTGGAATGTTTGAGCAGCATTCCTTAGACCGAAAGGCATTCGCAAAAATTCATAGAGTCCGAAGGGAGTTATGATAGCTGTTTTCGGTATGTCGTCAGTAGCCATAGGGATTTGGTTATACGCTTTAACCAAGTCGATTTTCGAAAAGACAGTTGTACCTTTCAAGGTAGCTGTCAAATCGTGAATGTGAGGCAACGGGTAACGATCGGGAATGGTTTTCGCGTTCAATCGCCGATAGTCACCAGTTGGACGCCAATCGTTGCTGTCCTTTTTAGGGACCATGTGCAACGGAGATGCATATGGGCTACTTGACGGTCGTATGATTCCTAAGTCCATCATGTGATCGAATTCGTTTTTCGCTAACCTTAGCTTTTCAGGAGCTAGTCGTCGTGCTTTAGAGAACACAGGTGGTCCTGTAGTCGTGATGTGATGTGTAACATTGCTGGTTACACACGGTAGTTTCGGTTGAGTTTGTTGTATCCCAGGGTACTTATCGAGTAGTGGTTGATAGAGTGGGTCTATCATATGTTTAACTGTGACTGGGGATACTCTACAACCAGTAAAAGAAGTTACGCAAACGGACAAATTAGTGTTTCCGTCTACTAGCCTCCGTTTGCGAGTGTCGATGATCAGATTGTGGTGTTGTAGAAGGTCCATACCAATGATTGGCATAGAAACATCTGCAACGACGAAAATCCAGTGGATGGGTTTGCGTAAACCCACGTTAAGGTAAACGTACCTTTTGCCATACGTAGCGATCGGTTTTCCGTTTGCCGCCTGTAAGTTTAGGGTCGATTCGTGAAGTCGGTCGTTAGGATTTGCTGGGAGAACGCTAACTTCTGCGCCAGTGTCGACGAGGTAGCGAACTCTCGTTGTCACATCTGTGACGAATAACAGACGGCTTTGTTCGCCGGCTACGGTTGCCGTTAACGCGTGCCGGCTTGGAAGTTTCCCGAATCAGTCGGTTTCGTGTTGGGAAAATTGCAGGGTTTTCTGCAATTTCTGGAAAACTTTCCATACTGGTTATGATACCAGCACCAGTCGGGGTTATCTGTCTCTCGTGGTCTAGAGACAGATCGCTTACGAGAAATGCTTCTACGTGGTGTGCGCGATCTCTTACGGTCGGTACGAAGACTAAGATAACGCGTGAGTGTGTGACATAAGTCGGTTATGTCATTCTGAGTCGTGTGAGGCTTTTCTTTGACTGAAAATACCTCGGTAGTAGAAGGTTTCGTAATTTCTAGAATGCGGTCGGCAGATACAGCTAGTTCGTCTAAGGCGTTGTTCTGGAACGAGACCAGAACTGCTTGCACCTGTTGGGGAAGTTTTGACAAGAAGAGTTGTTTGAATAGACCTTCGTCGAAAGTTCTTGGGCCTATAACCTCTCTCATCCGTTGCAACATGTCCGTCGCAGAACCGTGTTGCAGGTCGATATTGTTGAAGAGTTGATCTAACCTTTGTCGATCGGTTAGGTCTCCTCGTTTAAGAATCGAGCGTTTTAAGATTTCGTAAGGATCGGAAACATCACTAGTAAACATACTAGGTGTTACGTACCTGTTGAATTCCCGCGGCAGTGCCTTGACTACTGCGAGGAATTGTGCACGTGTGTCGATCACGCCGTGCTCGGAAAAGTCGGCTTCTGCGTAGCAAAACCAGGCTTCGATGTTGTCGGGCCAGAAAGGCATCAGTTGAAACGAAGGTGGGGACAAGGTCTTAAGCTTGAGTACTTTAGGTGTCTGTTCAGTCATGATGAAATATGAAGTACGATAATGAACGAGGGGAAAATATATATATATCCAAGAAAAAAAACGAAAAAAAATCACAATGTTTAAAAAAAATAAAAAATAAGGCAATGATATATAAAAATCCCAAAAAGGAACAGACTCACAGTTGCAATAAGGTGTACCAGATCACGACGGTCTCACCAATGATGATGTCACAGGTATTCAGTGTTTGACAACGCTTCTACCAGTAACACCTTCTAAGATATTTCGTTCCCACCAAGAGAAATCAAAAGACAGAGTCGAGGAGATCGGAAGAGTATATTTGGCGATGACCAATATACCGGGATTCTCTGATCTAATCTGGCTAGCGATTGTGGTTGATGTTGAGCACGGCGTTACTACACGTGATCTGGTGCGGATGCCTGACCGAGCGCCTTCAGCTAGATGAGTCCACTAAAACATATGGTCAGCATCCAATGTCGAAAACTTACAGAGCTATTTATTTTAGGGATTTATTTACCGCTACACACTGGTATAGTTGGTTATAATAATAATTGTTTTCATTAAACCAGTCGTGTTCTCGTGATAAAAGTGAGTCACTACAGGTTCAAAGAACTGCAGCTAATCCGATTCCCGGAATAGCAAGACTACCGTATGATAACAGACTGAATAAACTTCACCTGATTTTATTACCATATAGAAGAACAAGAGGCCATTTTGTCACAGTATTTTAATTACTTAGTGATAAATTTGCACCTGATATGCCCTCATTTTTCTTGACTTCCAAAACAGATAATTAAATGTGGTTATCATCAACAAAGATTTTAAATAAATTTTGAACAATGGTACACTGATGGTTGGGAGGTCATCATGTAGACATTGAAACCATTTGAATTGGAAGTTGCACCGGATATTCACGTGTTGCGTTACTTAGTTGCTAGGTGGCAGCCGAACATGAGTGATGAACTATTACTGTTAGATGCTCAGTGTGCTTTCATTTTGGGACAACATCAACTGGCTCTTAAAACAATTCAAAAGTTGAAGGTAATATGGTGTATTGTATTTTAATTTTATTATAGTCGGGTTCTTCAGACGTAGAATTGCAATCTAATGTGCTTACTTATCAAGTATACATAGCTCAAAAAAAGTATGGAGTTGTGCTCGATGAAATTCCTGAGGACGCCAACGAGCCAGAGCTAAAGCTTCTTAGGCTCTTGGCGACATACCTTTCGAAAGGTGTATCTGAGTATGTCTATATTCCATTAATAATGGCGGCAAACCTTTAATGTTTTTCCATATTTGAAGGGACGCTGTGGTAAAACAGCTTGACAGAATACTGGAACAACATATGGATTTAAGCCAAAGTGCGATTGTCATTGCAGCAACTATATATCTTCATTTAGATGTAAGTTAGTACTAATTCCTTTGTCTCACTTTAGATGGTGGAATATGCTTTGAAAACCTTAAATAATGGGAGCGACACGTACTGGTGAGTTTCTCTTGTAAAACCATGTTCAGTGTGGAATGTCATAAGTTAGGGTTTCAGAAGCAAATCTTTAGTTGGTAGTTCACATAATTGCTTTTGAAGTCGTTATAGTAATCTGTGACTTGAGTAGCTCCTGATTTATAATAGTCGGCAATTAAATTTAGCGCAATAACTACTTAAGACAACACCTTTAAAAACAATTGACATCGTTTTGCAGCTACTGGAATTTACTCGATCACACGACATAAATATTCGCAGTTTGAAAGTGATAGTATGTCTTCGTGTTTAAATTTGTAAGGATACAATTTTATGTTAGGCTAGTCCAGAGAGAAGAGGGGATTCGTTAAGCTTACAGTAGTATCTCTAATTCATTATACATATATACGGGTTCGATTCTTGTATTGTATTACCTTGCTTCTCAGTAAAAGATTGTCAGTTTCATTTCCCTTACATGCTTGTTAGCCTTTGTGCTCATCGCTAATATTGTCACTGAGTGTGAAATGACATTACTTGAAAAAATCCTGGTATGAAAAGCAACTATAAACCGTTCACTCAGTCATTGGTAGATTTCATGATGACAACTATATAAGAAACCCGATTCGTTGCTACCTCAACATGGTGGTCGGTCTTGCTTAACATGATGAACCAGTCAAGCTATACTGGCTGAAGCTTTCGTTCCCCAAGGTCCCACCATGCCAGACAGGTCGGCCGAAGAGCAGTAAGACTAAAAGCAGCAAACTCACGATCCGGGAGCAAAGTCGTACTGCTGACCATACAGAGGTGTGACGGCAGTAGGATTTTTCGTCAGACAACCAGCGTAACAGCGATGCTACCTTCCCATAAGAAAGGGTGGGGTTGGAAAATGTCGATCCTGTAAATGCACACGAAAGCAAAAGAGATAGTGAAGGCAGCGGCTGTAGTTAACTTCAGACAGCTTTTTGGGCTAATAAAAGAAACCGGAATTAAGAAGTCAACTGTAAGTGTTACAGTTTAGGAAAAAGACGACACTTATCTACTCTCAGTCCAGACGTTTAGAACGATGGGCGGAACACCAAGAAGCAGTTCAACTGACCTTCAGCTACTCTACCACATATTCATCAGATTTTAGAACACAGACATGCCTATCGACGTTCGACAACAGTGGTCCTTCTTGACTTAAAAGCAGAATTCGACTCTGTAGACCGAGATGTTTTGTGGTAGTATCTATCATTAAAAGGTGTGCCTCAGAAGTACATAAAACTTGTAAAGACTCTTTAATCGAACACTACCAGTCGAGTGAGAGCTTATGGCAAACTGTCATGTGATTTCGTAACTTCAAGTGGTGTCTGGTGAGACTGTCCATTGTCTCCATTTTTGTTCAACTCCATACTTACTGCTGGAAATAAAGTTCTCGTCGACTGAGTTTTCAGGAATTGATATCTTTCCAGGAGTTTCACGTAGAATATGCAGATGACATAGTTCTGTTTGTTGAATATGTTGATATAATGCAGTGTTTTAGCAACGCTGAGCAACAATGCCAGGATGCTTGGAGTGCACCTAATCCGCCCTAATGTGTTGGTGTGTGACGAAATCTGTACATGAATTCGAAAAGTTAGTTTGATGGCAAATCAGTTGATGAGGTTGTGATTCTACATCGACTGAGTTGGTGGGCCACCTATTACACATCCCCAACCACCGATTATCAGGGCACGCAATGCTGAATAGTGTTGGAGACTGTTGGAAGAAAGGTAAGGGACGATAAAAGCGAGGTGTGGCATCAGTACATAAAGTCACTGACTTCTAGTCTGAGCCATATTGGTAGATACAGACTACTTAGTTGGGATCCGCGTGACCATCGTAAACAAGGGTTGGAGACTGGGTGACATGGCTCAGAATCGGTGACAATGGCTTATGTGTATACACTCTTTGTCTTCCCTTAAGCCTTGAAATTAAAATTACTTTATACCTTTCAACTAACTAATTCTTTCTTCCCTGTATTATATCCTTATATGCAATCTTATATATATTACTACCATTGAAATAACCGCTTCTATGAATTTGGTGTTCATCTTGTTGTGCTAATGAGGAATGGCAACTTGGACCGATGCATATGTTTTACCTGGTCCTACACTGCATCTGACTGACCAAACATATAAGAAAATTCACGTTTGTAATCTTCCTGATTCTAAGGTAGCCATTAGCCCCCCAAGTTAAAGATCTGGCTAAAATATGTGTAACTCTATGATTATGGACGCTTAATACTGTGACTAATGAGTCAGAAAACTACAACACAATTATCATGTAAATAAATTTTTATTCTTAGCTCTATCAATTTTTTTCACTTTGTAACGTCTACAATAGTTTAGTTGGCTTCTGTCGTTTGTCGGACTGTCAGCATTATTATAATCACATAAACATGTAACTACATCACTGTTTGTTATAATCTCTTCCTTACAGTATGACAGCTATTCTTATTGCTTGGTATTCTTGGACACCGAATTACTCGACAAGTCCCCAAATCAGAACACGGTTGAACAGGAAAGAGATTATATTCCAAATAACAAGGTTAGACGGGCGCAAGAAGCACAATAGGGAAAACGTCAGTATATTTATAGTTTTTACATGGGAACATCCTAGAGTATTCTCCAGCTATCGACTAGTGCTGATTGGATAAGAATTAGCCAATCAGCGTGCACCAAAGCAATCGTGCATTGAGCATGCTTTAAACCAGTCTATGTCCCGCTAACACTGTTCAGTCAGTCAGTAACAACGTAGAACTTCGTACGTACGTACATCTGTTCAAGTTGCCACACCACATTAGCATAAAGATGCAGTGGTCGATTCAAATCCCGTAGTGGTAGAGGTAGCAAGAGTATAAGCAGTAATCGGGAAGATTAGTGATTGGAGATGTTACTTAAAGAGTATAATACAGTGAAATAAATTTGAGAGGAGAAAAAAAAGAGACAAGGAGGAATAAGGAGATCAAAATTTGGGAGAACACAAAGAGTGTATGCACCTGCGCCATTGCAAACGATTTTGAGCCATGTCATTCAGGGTCTAACCATCGGTTGCCATCATCTCGCGGTCCCCAACCAGGTAGTCTACACCTACCGACATGACTCAGACCACTTGTCAGTGACTTCATGGACTCGTGCCATGTTTTGGTCTGGCCGCCTCTAGCTTTCTTCCAACCTACTCCTATACCACTGAACATGGCACGTCGAGGCAGTCGGTGGTTGGGCATACGTAACACGTGTCCAAGCCATCTCAACTGATGAAGTTTCACTACGTCATCAATTGATTTGCCATCCTTACCTAGTACCCGTTTTCTAACAACTGCATTACACTGTTATGGCTCACTAATCCGTTTATTTATCTCCCTATGGTCATGTAAACTCAAGACTAGTTTGTTTTGGGTTTTTTTTTTCTAGTTAATCCTAGTTTGATAAGTTTATTTCAGAATGTTAGCATTTTTGAGAAATTATAGGAAAGCTTAATATCTCAAGTCACTTTTCCTTTTAGCAACGCTTTAACAGTTCAGTGTCTACTTCACATGAATCGTTGTGATCTTGCTGGCAAGGCTGTTCGACGTATGCAAACTGCAGATGAAGATTCTTTAGCAGCACAACTTGCCTCAGCTTTATACTACGTGAAAAAAGTATGTTCCTAATAGTGTTGGTCAAAAAAACATATGCATCCCACTATTGTACTTCACTTTATAAGTGGTATTCATTTTGTCCAGGGCGGTGATCAGCTACAAGAAGCCATTCACATATATGAAGAACTTAAAGAAAAACATGGACCTTCAACTTTACTGTTAAATGGTCAGGCTGCAGCTTTGATGGGTATGAATAATTGGGTTGAAGCCGAACCAGTCCTTCAAGAAGCTATTGATTTGGTTAGTTTATTACTTATTTATTTTTCGGTGTTCAAAAATCATCTCTGAAAGGACGAACTAAATAAACGAAAACGTCTTCTATCTCCCCTTTTATTTAAGATGTTTAAAAGTTTACAGGTTTTATCATAAATTCTCAATGCGACTATTTTAGGAGGAGATAGTTGTTTATCAATATTTATTCCCTTTAAATAATCTGATTGATATTTTAAAAATTTAAGATTTCATTCTGTAAGTAGTTTAACTCAGCATTGTTAACGTACAGGATTCTACTCATATGATAGTTATTATGACTACCCATAATGCGACCCAAATGCAATGAGGGATAAGTTTTATCACCAGTTAGGTGTTCTTATACAGAAGTTTGTTCGACAGATTCTGTAGTACTAGCCCAAGACTTGAATGCGTTGGTCGGGCGTCTAGGCACAGAAGAGTCATTTAGATGGCCAATGTGAACTTGTTGGTCTCAGGTCAGATAACGGTAACCGTCTACAGCAAATTTGCGCAGACTACAACCTATTTCTGACTAGCACTTGCTATCGGCACAGTCATTACCTATGTGCTACCTGGAGTCCTCTGCGTCTCAAATCTGGACTCAAATTGATCACACCACGATCGGCTACCGTGGGTGTGGCTGTGTACAGGACTGTCGCTTCTTTTGGAGTACTTATCTGGACTCTGATGATATCCTTGTTGGCGTAAATCTTATCTTGCGTTTCAGCGGTCAGCAAATACTTCATCCTAAACGGGTCGGTTCCAGCTTCTGTTGCAACTAAATATCAAACCAAGCTATGTTCAAGGCTAGCCATCATCCCATCGAAAAGTATAGATAAGCATTGGTTGCAATTGCACGACGCCATGAAAATGGTGAGTAAAGATATTTGTGATTTCGCGAAACATCCTGCTTTTAAGCATTGGGTTTCTTCAGGCTCCTTATAATTCATTGGAGCCCGGGTGACCGCGAGTTTGACTATAAGTGAGGATCGTTACGCAACAGAACTGTGAAATCCTTGTGTAAGGACTGGGAAGCTTGGTGGTCGGAGCGTTCAAACGAGTTGGAAAGATCAGCTGCTTGTGTTAACTGCCAGGAGCTCCTTCAACTCATCCGATTCACTGGCAGTAAGAAGTTTGGTGTGAGCGAAAACGTTTGTGAAGCTGAGGGGATATCAATCAATAACATCTATCAACATGAGAGCAAAACTGCTCTTATTATTATTTTATTGTCATACACTAATTTCTGTTCTTTGTTTCTCTTCTTTTATTGTACTCACTTTCCACTCTATCTCCACAACCTCATTGTTATTATGTGGCCCATATAGTACTCCCATGTACCAATGGTTATGTGTTCAAATAAATTAATAAAAGTATAGTATACAGCTTTATTGTGTAAGATTGTGTCTGTCTGTTATTGTGAAATGTATTTTGGGTATTGTGGTTTGGTTAGGTCCGGATAAGCATAATGAATGGTAACTTTTGGAATCCATTTATGGACCAATACTGTGTATATTTTTATTGTATAATTGTTACATAACTATATACACATTCATATCCCTCTTATTATAAGCTTTATCTTGACCTATGAACTATTATTATACGATTTACCATTCTTGAATTATGTCCTGTTTATTAGTCCACTGCCTCTCACACTCACAGTCACATTTGGCTAAGTCTTTTACAAATGTTATTTTCTATTTTATGGTACGTTGTGGTCTGTTTGGTTTGTATATAAACTCAGTATGTTTGAAATATAATGATTCATATTGCAGAGGCTGAGATTGGCGTTCTAGACTTAACAGGCAAGGCTAGGCGGAAAGCAGGATCGATAAGGACTCTAGACTGCTCGTACTTGTTTTATGCGTCATTGATCCGATCGATAAGTCACTGTTCTCTGATTGGCAGTATCGTTACGTTCTACATTAGCGGGGCACTTAAGCCACAAATTATAACAGTGGTGCAAATTTTTATCTCTGTTAAGCACATTCTGTAATATTGTTAATACTAGTTATGATTTACGAAAAAGTGTATTATTAGCATAACACTATACAGATTTATTTTCCTATTTATATATTTGTATGTATATTTGTTACATTTTTCTAGGATGGTAATAATCCTGATACAATTGTAAATATGATTGTGGTTTATCATCATTTAGGCAAACCGGCTGAGGTAAGAATGTGTTTATTTTGAAACAAGAAAACTTGAATTGTCCACTTTTCTTTTTAAAAAAACAGACTATCAACAGATTAATATCTCAACTACGGGATTGTTGTAAGGATCATCCATTCCTTGTGGATTATGTAGAGAAGGTAATTAAACCATTCACTTTGGGAGAAAAAAAAACTAATTCTTATGTTATTTTATAGGAGGATGAATTTACACGTTGTGCAAAACATTATGCTCCAAGTGTACCAGGATAATATTCTTATATATTTTGTATCAGTTTCTATTATCATAATAACTTTTATTTGTCTTGTTTCTTTTTACTTTTGGTCGGAAATAAAATGATACTAATTATGATCTGATTCTCGTCTTATTGATTATTTAATCTGGTCTTGACTAGTTTATTCGATATAACTATATGGTCATTGTTATTAGACTTGAGTATGCTGGCTAAAATAAATGTACTTTAGGGTTTTAAATTGTTTTGGAAAATCATAGTAGGGTTAAAATCTGTCGTGATAATGTTGTAAGAAAGCTTCAGAATAAGGTTTCGTTGTCAATAATACCACCTTTCATCAAATGAGTTTTATGCGTTATAGGCAATGTACTAACACGATATAAAGGAACATAGTTAAAATTCAGTTCATTTAGGTTCACTGCTTGTATTATATTTTATCAGAATATGAACGTTACGTAAAATTGACATTTTCTTGACTAATCTTATTCTCACTCTGATAACCTTTAGATCTCAGTACAGTAAAATCTTATCGAACGTTTTACGTACCAAAAAAAAAGCAGTAACATATAGATTGAAGTATGCTAATGACAAAATTGACAGTGATAACGCTTAAAATGTCTATGTTCTGTCGTTGCAAGTACAGTCACTTGCTGAAAGGGAGTGAAATAATCCAAAATTGGAATAGATCACTGTAGAGTTCCAAAGCGTGATATTGATATGTGATCTGACCGATATATGGGTTCATTTTATTTGATTCCAAGAATTATTTTAAATTTTGAACAGTAATGAAATGGAAGGCTACAAATTATCAGTTTATACATAAATACATTTTCCATTAAATTCCATTTCAGATTACTGATTGATAAACTAATTCTTCTAGGTTGGTTTCCGAGATAATTTTTCTTAAGTTTTGTATATTATTATGATTTAGCAGTAATGAATATCATAGTAATAAGTTACTCCTCATGAAACTTAAAAGTGGTTTGAATTTTCAAAAAAAATTATGGACCTCACTGTAGTAATGAACAGTATCATTTCCATATACATGTAACTAAAAAATTAGGGTCAGTGACAACTAATCTATATTGACAGAATAAACTATCATCTATGAATGAAAGACTTCAAATAGCTCATTCTTATCTGGAGTTTGCTCTGATAATGTTGCCTAAAAACATTTTACAAGCTTCAGAACTGAACCACATAGCCCAAAGAATGGAACTTCACCAAGAAGTGCCATTTTCATCCTTAACTAACTATGACATCTTGTTTGTAAACACATCTATTGTTCGAAAACTAGTTGTACAACAAAACTCGGCAAATCTGATTGGAATTCATACTCGAAATCTATGGTCACCAATAAAGAATTTGTGCTGTTGAACTACATACTCGATACATTGGTTTCTAATTAGTGTACACATGACAGTTAAACCATATTTGAGTTGAGTATGAAATTAAGTTTACTAAACAATTTCCCAATATTGTCTGATCTAGATCAATATAGTGGACACAAATTATCACAGTTCTCACTATACATCTCTTTTCCCTCGAGTATAATTTTCTTTCTATAAAATTAGAAGTAATAATTTGGTCATCTAGTGATATTACTCTTTCTATAAATAAAAAAATTACAAATAGTTAACAACAAATAAATAAAGGAGATCATACGTACACAAATTCAGAAATAAGGGGAACATAGGATCATCTATCATCAATATATCGTAAAATTCCTGATGCTTGAAATTTCAAAAATGAATCAAAGTAAAGATTGTTGAAATGTTTTTATAAAGTTATCATTTCAATCAAAGAACTTCAAGTAATTCATTCGTTATTGATTTGTAATTGTGCAATGTAGTTAGTATACAAACAATGTTGTAATCCAATGTTTTCTTGTTCTTGTTGTCAAAGAAGGTGGTGTATTTTTTTCGAATCATCTTTTTGTCTCGTTGAGAAAAAAAATTCTAATAAGATAAGTGTAGTAGAAGTTGACAATGTAAACAATTAGAATGATCTTAATATTCTCCTTGTACACGAAAGACTGACGACAATGGTGCAGATTGATCTGTTCAATAGAAGAAATAAATATAATTTAAACAAATATTAATAAGAAATTGGTTAGTGTTATTGCATTCTATTTACTATTTGATTTAGTATTCTTCATTCTATAACTCTTATTTTGAAACTAATCTCTAGGACAAAATATATTAACATTTATATTATAAAATAAATAATGGTTCACAATAGATTATTTATCATACAGAATGGGTTTTGTGGAGAGTTTTACAAATTTTCACAGATTGAAATCATGAGTCAGTTGAAGCTAGACCACCATGGAAAACCTGGAAGCACTGGACGGCCGTTTCGTCCTGGTATGGGACTCCTCAGCAGTGCGCACCCACGATCCCGCACCACGCGGGGGCTCGAACCCACGACCTACTGGTTTCGCGCGCGAGCACTTAACCACTAGACCACTGAGCCGGCATCCAACGGTGTTAATGTCTAACTTCAACCAATCCACGGTCTGTTGTGAGATAACAACTCACTGAAGACAATGGTGTACGGTGGCGCAACTTTGTGGATTGGTTGAAGTTAGACATTAACACCGCTGGATGCCGGCTCAGTGGTCTAATGGTTAAGTGCTCGCGCGCGAAGCCAGTAGGTCCTGGGTTCGAGCCCCGCGTGGTGCGGGATCGTGGGTGCGCACTGCTGAGGAGTCCCATATTTATCATACATTTAAATAATCGCAAACAGTTAGTAGTCATGGAAAGATGCATAGTGGTTAGTAGTGGAATTCAGGACTCGTGTTTCTTCCCCTTTTGGGACTCATCAGCGGATGTACCTTCACTCTGGGACTCGACCTCAGTACCGTTCGATTCAAACACCATCGCGTTATCCACTTAGCTACTGAGACCTGTTAGCCGCTTGCTTGTGTAATGAGGTGAAGTTTAAATTCACTTGATGTTGTTTGTTGGAATCTTCCCATTGTTATTTAGGACTGCAATTGATCATACCCTTATTGGCATATGTGCATATTGCCTTGATATAGCCTTAATTCATAAGCGTTATATGCAGAGATTGATATTAGCTAGCAGTAAAATCCAAGACTCGCGTTTTTGTTCTATTTGGGACTCGTTATCAGGACTCAGTAGCTAAGTAGATAACACGATGACGTTTGAAGCGAATGTTACTGGCTAGAAATAGAGTGAATATCAACTCTAGGATGCATGCACATCCAGCTAACCAGTCCTAAATAAGATGAAACGCTCTTCTTGGATTCCACTGCTACCCACTATCCCTCTTTGCATATAAGGCTTGTGAATTAAGGCTATATCAAGGCAATATGTACACTATGCACCTATGCTAATAGGAGACTGATCAATGGGATAATTCAAACAAACAACACCAAGTGAGTTAGTAGTTATGTTTAGTTTATTAAGCTTCATGTACTATTGTTTCTCACTATATTGCCTAGAGTTTTTAAATCAGAATACTTAATTTGATCTGCACTTCTTTTAAGATAAATTTCAGCATAATATTAAACATTGATATATGTTTGTGCAAAGTTCAATTTGAATAATCTTGGGATTTTTTCATTAAGATCACAATTTGCTTTGATGCAATTTATAAGTTCCTTAGTTTTTAGTCGTTTTACTAATGACAATGATTCATAACGGAAGTTTCAAAGAAAAAATTCATCTTTAATATAAGTAATAGTTGTGTTCACAAAAGAGTAACTGAGTAATGAAGTTCCAGTTTAAATCCATATCTTGTAACATTAACTATATGAAACAATTTCATAGAATGATATAATCTTATGGCTAAAATTGTACTGACATTAGATAAATTTCGATGTTAGTAAATTATGAAATTGTGACTATTTTCAACTGATTATTACCTACTATTCAAACTACTACTAATGGTCATTTTAGTAGTAATATTTGTAATAGTAGAAAATTTCGATTTGCATAAATATGTTCATGCAAAAATTGTTGAATTGTGTTCGTAAAAAAGTAACTAATAGATAGAGTAGACCAATTGACAAAGAATAAGTTATCATTTAGAAACTGTACAAATAAAAAGATATTTCAATAAAGTATAGAACCGAATAGAAGAATGAAAAGTGAAGCAAAACTATTCAACAAATGAATATTGAAAAACATGTACAATAATAGCAGTTTCCTCATACATAATTGGTACAGTACCTACTTCCGTATTTAATAATGAGTTTTAGAATGAAATTTTACTTTATCTGCTGAAATGAATTGGATAACCAATGGAACTAATGAATATTAGATAGTTGTTTCATTCTAATTTTGAGTTCATCATGTATAATAAATCTATCATCTCATATATTAAATCAAACCTATGAGTTTTACATGACACAATCAATAAGTTTCAACTATTGAGCACAATGACTTGACGTATAAGTGAGCTCCTTAGTTTCCAACGTTTAAATGAAAACGTCTATGATCGTAAAGAAAAGTAATCGTAGAGAAGATTCGTTACTAGCCCATAAAAGTTATATTTGCTAGGCTGTTTGTCATTAATGTCAGTCAGACAACCAGTTACAACGTAGGACCAGGCACATATGTGCATCGGTTCAAGTTGCCACACCTCATTAACACAGCAAGACGAACACCAGATCCATGGAAGTAGTTAATTCAGTGGTTATAATATATAAAAGAAAAATTACAAATAAGGACATGGTACAGGAAGAAAAAATAGTTCGTAGAAAGAAAGATATGAGGCGGTTTTAATCTCACAGTTTAAGAGAAGACAGAGTGTATACACCAACGCCATAGTGATCTATTCTTAGCCATGTCACCAAGAGTCTCCAATCATTGGTTATGAAAGTCGCGTGAACCCCAACCAAGTAGTCTGTATCTACTAACATGGCTCAGACTAGAAGTAAGTGGATTCAAGCGCTGATGCCACGTTTTGGTTTGTCCGCCCCTAACTTTCTTCCAACCATCTCTAACACTAGTCAGCATCGCGCTTCATTAATGTGTCCTCAAGTCATGAATGTAAAGATTGATTACAATGTTCCCTGTTTTTTTTATCTGATAGTTCGTCTACATTACTTATTTTGCGACACAGCCTTCATTCAAAGAATAATTTTCCCATT